TTGCCAAGCCACAGCCTTCCCCGTAAAAGTAATCAAATATCCGGATGTTGACTTGTGAGAATCAATGTCTCATGCCATGTCCGAATCCGTATAGCCAATCAAGTTCGATTTTCTAGCACTAAAAGACAACTTCAAACTCGCTCAGTGCCTCTAATATATCTCATTATCCATTTAACTACATTTCAATGCTCCTTTTTTGGATTTGACAAAACTTTGCTAACTACCCCAACAACATGAGCAATATCGGGCCTTGTACATACCATGGTATGCATCAAACTCCCAATAACTTAAGCATATGGAACTCTCTCGCATCTCCTCTTTCTCCTCATCCGTAGAAGGACTCGTTGGATGCTTAGCTTAAAGTGGGTTGCAAGAGGAGAGCTAACCACTTTAGCTTTGTCCATCTTGAATCTCTCGAAGTACTTTCTCAATATACTTCTCCCGAGATAAATATAATCTTTTAGCCGCTATGTCACGTTCAATGCGTATGCTCAAAATTTGCTTTCTTGGCCCTAAGTTCTTTAAGTCAAAGAACTTATTCAACCGCTTCTTCAAGTCGACTATCTTTAAAGCATTCCCGCCAACAATTAAGATATCATCTACATAAAGCAACGATATAATAAAATCATCATCGAAAAATTTTTACACATAAACACAATTATCCGATATGGTTCTCGTATAGCCTTGCTCCTCCATAACCGAGTCAAACTTTTTGTACCACTGTCTCAGGAGCTTGCTTCAAACCATAAAGACTCTTCTTCAATTTACACGTCGAGTTTTCCTTACCTTTCAACCGAAACCCCTCCGGTCGCTCCATGTAGATTTCCTCTTCTAAGTTGTCATGTAAAAAGGCTATCTTGATATCCATCCGTTCAACTTCTAAGTCAAGACTTGTCGTTAGGCCAAGAACAACTCGAATAGATGACATATTCACCACCTGGAGAAAATATCTTCTCAAAATCAATACTTCTTTTTTGACTAAAACCCTTCACCACTAATCTTGCTTTGAATCTAGGATGTGTGGTGTGTTCTTCATGCTTGATTCTAAACACCCATTTGTTTTTCAAAGCTCTTCTACCATTGGGTAGTCTTACCAATTCAAAGGTATTATTCTCATGTAAAGACTTCATCTCATCATTCGTGGCTTCAATCTACTTATTTTTATTCTCATCTTCTATTGCTTCTTTGTAGGATTCAGGTTCTCCACTCGTCGATCAACAACACATAATCATTAGAAGAGTACCTAATAGAAGGTCTTCGATCTCTCGTTAAATCGTCTAAAGGTTTCGATGGAACATGTTCATCACCCTATTCAACTATTTGATCATGTTCATCACTCGATGTATCATCATGAATCGACTCGTTGTCTTACAAATCATTATCATTATGTACTCCCTACTCTATCCGTGAATCATTTTGCACATCATGTTCAACTAGCTCAGTCTACTAGTGCGGAATGAACCGACTCAATCGGCTATATATCTATGATATCATCATAAGACTCGATCACTGTATCGCTCTATCTTCTTAATATCTTGTATGGTCTGATCCTCTAGAAATACAACATCACGACTTTTGACTATTTTCTTTTCAACTCGGATCATATAGTTTGTAGTCAAACTCATCTTGACCATACCCTAAGAAGATACACTACCTTGTCTTTACATCAAGCTTAGATCTTTCATCTTTAGGAACATGCACAAATGCCTTGCATCCAAAAACTTTTAAGTGATCATAGGATATATTTTTGCCACTCGCAAACCCCGCTTGGAACATCAAATGACAAAGGCACACAAAGTGAAAGATGCCTCACTCCAAAATGACTTAAGCGAGTCGTGCATGAGAAAACAAGCATCCGACTCTCTCAACTAGAGTCCTATTCATCCTTTCGACCAACCCGTTCAACCGAGGTGTCTTTGGTGGAGTCTTTTGATGCTTAATGCCTTGAGTTCTGCAAGTACTCATCAAAAGGGCTTGAATATTCACCACCATTGTCAGTTCGGATACATTTGAGCTTTCTCCTTGTTTGTCTTTCTACCAAAGCCCGAAACCGCTTGAAAACACCAAGAACTTGATCTTTTGATCTTAATATATAAACCCATACCTTCCTCGAGTAATCATCTATAAATGTTACAAAGTAATAGGAACCTCTTTTTGACATTGTCTTCATAGGACCACACACATCTGAATGTACTAACTTAAGGGATTCTGTTTTCTTGTAAGTGGATGGCTCCTAAAAGAAACTCTATTCTGTTTTCCAGCCATGCAATGTAAACACTTCTTCAAGTGATTATCCCGCATATCAGATAATAACTTTTTCTTTTTCAACACTCGCCATGCCTTTCTCAATCATATGAGCTAATCTCTTGTGCCATAGTTCGATAGCTTCCTCACCTCCGATAATATTCACATCATCATTCAATAATTTAGCATGTATGACATATAAAGAGGAACACTTTTCTCCTTTTGTCACTACCATAGAACCCTCGGACGAACTTCCACATATCATTTTTAAATGTGTTATAAAACCCTTCATCATCAAATCTTCCAACCGAGATTAAATTCAAGCGAAAATCGAGAACATGCTTCACATTTTTCGTAACCAGCTTTACTCTAGTATGAGTCTCTAAGCACACATCTCCAATACCAACGAATTTTGGATAACCAATTATTGCCAACCCTTACCGCCTCAAAATCACCGGGCATGTATGAGCTACAAAACTCCCCGTGAGATGTAGCATGTACCGAAGCTCCACTGTCTACCACTTAACTATGCTCATCCGATGTTATGTTGACTTCATCGACATCATATGCAATTAGGAACTCATCGATTGCATTTACTCGATCTTCATCAGCATCACCGTCATTCCGCTTGGTTTGTTCTTCTTGTTGTCTTTCTTTAATTTTCAGCAATATTTCTTGATGTGACCCATATCACCACAATGATAACACTCCACATTTACAAACTTGCCCTTGGACTTGCTTCTACTATTGTCTCTACCTTTTGGACTCTTACTCTTACTCCTCCCCCTTTCTACGGTAATTAGCACATCGATCGGGAAGAAGAATTTTGAGTCTTCCTTCCGACCTCTTCATTGAAAACCCCATTTCTAGTATAGGTTAGGTCATCTTTCCATCGAGAGCGTAATTACAATGTGATGTACGGAATGTCTCCCAAGAATCCGACAATGAGCCAAGCAAATACAACCCAAGAACTTCATCATCAATTTCTATTTTCATGGCATTCATTTATTGAACAATTCCTATATACTCATTAATGTGATCAACTATCGAAGTTCTTTCCTTATACTCGTAATTCATCCACTCGCTTGATCAAGTACATCTTGTTATTCCCTGTTTCTTTAGCAAAGAGATCTTCCAAACTTTTCTATAAAGTTTTAGCATTCACCTCTTTCGCAACATGATTAGAAACATTATCATCAATGTACCGACGAATAAAGGCACAAACTTGTTCATTCTCAAACTTTCAATCCTTATCTATTTTTATCTTAGGTTTATCTCGAAGCAAAACAAGTAGATGCCAACTCTTTACATATAAGAGATCTTTCATTTTTCTCTTCCACATGTGATAATTCGTTCCATTCGGACTTATCATGTTAATGTTACTCTCCATATATGTTCAAGCCGAAAGTAAACAACCCGGCTCGATACCATTTGTTGGGCAAAGAAGCACAAATAACACAGAGGAATCCCTTTGCCCTTGCTTGAACAATCAACCACAGAGCTACAACCAAATATTCAAGCCAAACAAGTAACTAATAATCTAAAAAATAAGTAACCAATCACAATCACACAAAGCACACATAAATTTTTACATGGAAAACCTCCTTAATTTGAGAAGGGAAAAACCATGGGACCGGAGTCCATTATAACTTCCACTATCAACAATAATGAGTACAAGGAGTTCTCTCTAGATTAAACTAGATGAATAATCAGCCGCAAACATCAAATGTTACGCACCCTTGTCAAACCACATCAAAAGATGATACACAAAGAAAATAAAAGAAACCAAGTTCGAATTTCATCGAAAAATAAGCACCGTTACGAGCATGATATCTCCCTCTCCAGAACCCAAAATCAGATCTCCACCGTCCAGAATGTGTACCTGCCTCTCCTGAACGTGCCCAACAAATTTGAGCTCGATCCAACGATTAACAAACCCAGAAATTCAATCTTAGCGTGACTGACTTGTTCCGAAACTATTTTTCTTCTTTCTCAAAAAGTCTGCGGCTCTCGCTCATTTTCTCTTTTTTTCTCTCTTACTTCTTCCCTAATCTGATTTCAAAATAAAATAGAAGATAAGGTTTATTTAAAAATATCAAAATTATCCTTTAATTGATTAAAAAATTCTCCTCTACATGGACTCCAAAATTAAGCTCATGTAGGTAAACCTTTGGACCATCCTCCAATTAGAAGGAAAACCCAAAGGTTTCCACTTCTTACTTTTACTTTAATCCTCTTACAAGCCTTATGGCTGGTGGCAGCCCCAAGGCTAAAAGGAATAATTTTATTTTATTATTTTTTTATAAATAGAGAGGTCATAGTATTTTTTTTTTAATATCTCATTTGAGAAATAAAAATTTAAAAATAAATTGATTTGGAAAACAACTCCGACTACATGAGAGTTGCCACATCTATTACGAGTCAGATCTACCTATTGATAAAAAAAAAAAAAAAGTACTTCAAAAGCATAGAGATATTTATATTGGTAACAACTTACCAAACAACAAAATCATTCACGTCACTAGCGAGAGCACAGTGCCGATCAGCAAACCCAATCGACACAGAGCTCTCCAGCTTAATAGCAAGTAATTAAAAAAAAAAATGGAAACCCTTGTTGTATGTAATTATTATATTAATTGTAATTTCAATTCAGTGGTAAAAGATTCATTAATTTCAAAAAAGCCCCCTCTTCACGTACGTTTCCTCTTCCCCAGGTACGTTTTTTCTCATCCTTCAATCGCAGCGTGACGTTAAAGATGGCTCTCCATCTCTCTGCTCAAAACCCAGGTAATATATTTATATATGTGTGTATTAGCTTTTGTTTACGATTGATGACCAAAAATAAAAAAATAAAAACACTGGTGTGTTGGTTACAGTCGTTGAGCAGCAGAAAGTGATAATATCAAACAAACATGGTGAAAAACTGATGGGCTTATTACATGACAATGGATCCAACGAGATTGTTATATTATGCCATGGTTTTCGTTCCACAAAGGTTTGTCTGCGTTCATATTTGATTTATTTTTAACGGAAAAAAGGGTAAAAGACTGACTTGGAAAATTTTATTGTGTTTTCTCTCTATCTCCAGGAAGACGATATTATGGTGAATCTTGCCAAGGCATTAGAAAAGGAAGGAATCGCTGCCTTCCGTTTCGACTTTGCTGGAAATGGGTAAAGTTCTTTGTTTCGTTTTACTGATATGTAATTGCATAGAACTTGAACAAAAATGACTAACTAATTGCAGCAAAGGAGATTGCTAGTTGCTTGGTTTGTCTTAACATGTAATGTCGCCTTTTTAATTGGCGTGGTCATGGATTAATAGTGGCACATACCATCTCTAGATGCCACGAAAAGAATAATCAAAATTTTCCTTTTTATTTTTTTTTCTGATAATCTGCTAATAGGTTAGTTCTTTTTGTGGAAGTTGATAACGGAACTTTGATGTCAAAGGACCTTTATGTTTTTCCAACTCTTTCAGTATCAAGCTGAACAAAGAAAAATGTGGGTTGATTTTTGAGTGTGTGTGTATATATATATATATATATTGTGATCCGTAGGAGTTCTCCTTAAAAAAGAATCCAAGATTAGTTTGATATTTTACCAAATATTTTCATACTTGATGTCTTTGTAGACTGTGATGTTTATAATTGAATTGTTCTTTTACCAAACAGTTTCTCTAGATTTTATGTTTTAATGCCATGGTAATTGAGGCTCCAACATAGATAGGCACAAGCAAAAGCCCTAATATTTGAAACCATATGCAAAGATTAGATACTTAGAGTTGTTTAGATATCAGTTACAATGTGAAATTTTTTTCAGTACCTTGCATTGCAACAATCAGTTAGTGGTCGGTTGTCCCCAAAACAGAATTATTAAATGTGTGTTTACTGTGGCATTTTTTTTTTTTTTTTGTAAATCTGTAGAAAAGAAAATTACCGGCAAATCTGTTTGGTAGTTGAAAGATGAAAACTGTTTCCCTAGGAGGAAAAGGCTTCCCATTTTTCTAGAAATTCTTAAAAAGGCACTATTTTAGATGTCTTAAATTTGGAAAGCGAGGGCTTTGTTGAAAAGAAAAAGAAGGCATTATTAAGTGACTGTCTTTCTGTGGCTTTAGCTGGATAGATGGATTAGGAAATAACTTTTCCTTGCGGCTAATAAAAGTGACATTCTTATCTACAGAATCACCAGCTAGATTAAATTCTGCCTGACATGGCAAAATTGTGGCTTGACGAACTTCTTGATGGACATCTATTGAAGTAGACTCCAAATTATGAACATTCCTAATCACATTCCAAGCATCTGTCTTAAATCAACATCATCCCCAACCTCCATCCAAGCATACTTCACAGCTGCCTTTGAGGTTATAGCCTCCAGTACTCTCATGCAAATTTTGGCATCATTCAAACAAATGTGCTATGCAATCTCAAATGAAACCACCGCAACCAACCATCTTATTGTCTTTATGCCATGCCCTGTTAACATTGTACTTCTCTCTTTTCCCATTTGGGGGAACCATCGTTGAGCTTGGAGCTCCAGAAAGTAGTGCCAGCATCATCTGCATCTAGGACATTGTTATGTAAAGTGGCTTGTTGAATATAACGGAACAACCATCAGAATCTCTCCCTTTTTCCTTCACAGAGCAACCCGGATAAGCCTCTTGTTTTCTATTTTAGAACTAATGGTAGGGAAATATGTTTCTTGCAGTTTGTTGAGAAGAAATCTAAAATAGAGATCAATAATGGAGATTAAAGATATGATATTGTTATCTGAAATAAAATGCTCCTTTCTTCTTTTTTCATTGAAATTTTTCATTAATAAATTCCATTTAAAGAAATGATTGTCTTGGAATAATGCACATGTATCAGACATGACATGAAATTCCATTTGAAAGAACATGTTTCTGATAAGTCTATTACTCTGAGTTCCTTACTTTACATCTATATTGGTTGCTTATCTTTTTTGTTGAATCCTTTTACATAGTCCAATTCTTGCTTGAAACCATAAGCATTTATTTAGTTTCATGCTCATCTTGCTGTAATACTTTCTTTCCAGGGAAAGTGAAGGTTCATTTGCATATGGTAATTACTGGAGAGAGGCAGATGATTTACGTGCTGTAATTGAACACTTCCGTGCAGAAAGCCGTGCCATAAGTGCAATTCTTGGGCATAGTAAAGGTGTGCATTTGATTATTCGACGTCTAAAATGTGTAGATGTTACTGTCAAGATGAAGTTGAATTTTTTAAGCCTACATGTTTATGGAGATAACTACCACTGTTGTTGAATTTCTATCATAATAGTTACGATGGAAGTAATAAAAATAGACATGTAGTTGATGTGGTGAATCACGTGATAGCAGAAAAAGTGATTAGGAGTAAGGCTTGAAGGATACTGAGGTGGTTCTGACTGTATTAACTCTCTATTCAATAGGTGATGGCAAATCGGCAGTAGTATACCCACCATTGATGGTGTGATACGGACGACAAAAGACTAAGATTTATGTGTTTTATTTAACTTTGAGAATGCAAGGGTATTTTAGTATTTTTAGGTTTGCTGGAAATCTGTCTAGGTCTAGGCTTTATTTCTGTTTAGTATTTTATTAGTCCTGAATTATTAGGTTTTCCTATTCCCAAATAGGAATAGTTAATAGGTTTTCCTATTCTAAATAGGAATAGTTATGTTAGAGGTTTAGGAATCCTTGTCCTAATTGGATTTGGATTTCTATAACTCTATAAATACAACATCTAGTCTTTCACTATTAGGAATGCAATAATATCAAATAATTTCCAGCAATTTGCTTTTGATTGTATGATTTAATCTCCTTTAGGTGTGACTTCTAAGAACCCTAGGTGTGAAGCTTAGGATTTTTCTACCCTCTAGGTGTGACTCCTAGAATCCTACCTCATGCTTCCTCATATTCCAGAAAAAACTTACTTCAATACAACCCTAAACACCCCTAAACAACCCCCAAAAATCAGATCCAGGACAGCCCCTAAGCTGTCCTGCATCATGGTGGCATAGCACTTATGACGCATTTGCTTGTAGTAACAGGGTGACTCCTGGGTGGCAATGCTGATAGAGAATTGGAGATAGGGTATGGACTGTGGAAATGTGTTTGCTGATTCTGTTGCTAAAGATATAGCAGTGAAAAGTCATTTGAGGTGGCGATGGATCCAATGGCAAGCTCTCAGTAATGCAATAAATGTCCTTAATTTATTCACTCTGAATATATATGTTTTAAGCTCTGAAGAGATATGGTGTGGGTAGTATTTATCTACCTAATAGGTTAATAATCAATTGTCAATTTTGGATGGAACTTTAAATGTATTTAGGTTATTAAATCAGAGGCGTATGGTCCAAAGTGATGCAGAACAGAAAAGAGAAGCAAAAAACAGAATAACAGAGTAATTAGGGAAAATAGAATATTAGAGAGTAATTACGGAGGAGAAGAAGGAAGAAAGGGGCGGAGGAATAGAGTAAGACTGGAGAAGAGATAGGGACAGAGATAGAGAGAGGAGATGAACAACTCTCGGAAAGCAGAAGTTTCAATTCTCAATAAAAATTCAGCCATTTTAAACAGGAGATTAGGTGCCCGGTAGATGCTTAAAATACCAATTCGTCATACAGAATGTCATACAAATGCTTTTTAAAATACCTACTCGTCTTCTGTGCCTAATCTAAGGTGGAGGCTTGGATAGGAGTTCTGGAGGAAGAAGTCCAGAAGATGAAAGTTTTTGATAATATAATGCATGGAAAAAGTGGGCATTTACTTTTTGAGTCGAAATGGAGCCAATTTAGTAGTAATGCTTGTCATGATTAGCTGTGTGGATTTCACATTCAACTTGTCCTGTTTGTGAAGTTTAGTGTGAAGTCTGCTATGATAAATAATAAGTTTATGTATTTTTAATCCTCTCTTTGAAAGCTGTCTTACTGAAAAATATGATTCCAGGAGGTGATGTGGTGCTCCTATATGCTTCAAAATATCAGGATATCAGTACAATTTTCAATATTTCTGGCCGTTACGATCTGAAGAGAGGCATCGAAGAACGGATTGGAAAATATTTTATGGAAACGATCAAGCAGGATGGATTCATCGATGTCAAGAATAGAACAGGTAATCCATATTTTTGCCCCAAAATACGTGATGGATTCATCAATGTTAAGAATAGAACAGTTAATCCATTTCTTTTTCCCTAAAATATATGTAAATTTATTTCCTAAAAGAAAGAGGGTGCAAATTGCCTGACATAACCTTCTGCAGGAAGTGTTATTTATCGCGTGACTGAGGAAAGTTTGATGGATCGTCTGAATACTGATATGCATAAAGCATGTCTTGCGATCAATAAGGATTGCAGGTGAGCACAATCATCATTAAGTAGCTTTTTATCCTTGCATTTGCTTGACAAGCATGTCTAAATTATCAAAATTAATTCTAGTTGGAAAGTTTTTATGAAAAGCTATCTTTGTTGAATTGATTAATTATGACGAATGAGAGGTGGTTTGTCTTGTGAAGATGAACCATGCTATTTTTTATACTGATAAAAGATTTGGTCTTCTCCTTGCCAATTGGTGATGGAAATCCTTTCTGATCATGATACTTGCAGCAGTCGATGATACATTTTTCCTCTACATAATGGCTGTTGCATCTCTTTATTTCTTAGATTGGCAAGTTCTTTGTTATAGCTGACCAACCTGTTATGATTGGATTTTTGCTGATGGAGATCCTATGTGATCATGGTGCTTGAAGCATGTTTCAGGTGATGATACATTTGTCGCCTAGAGAAGGGCTGTTGCATCTCTTTATTTGTTAGATTGGCAAGTTCTTTGTTATAGCCGATTGCATGCTCCTGGTTCTGTTTAGCCTAATTAATTTGTTTGTCAACGTTTTAAATGCATTTTCGCTGGTGTGTGTATTTTTTTGTGCCTTCATTACCATTCTTCTGTATGCAGGGTCTTTACCATTCATGGATCTGCTGATGAAATCATCCCAGTGGAGGATGCATTAGAGTTTGCCAAGATCATACCAAATCACGATCTACACATCATAGAAGGAGCAAATCATAGCTACACCTCGCATCAAACTGAGTTGGTATCTGTTGTTTTGAACTTAATGAAAGCAACCTTACAGCGCGAAGAAGGTACCCCCATCTAGATAGTGGTATGCATCAAAATGAAATCTTAAAAACATTCTCTAGACAATTAATAATGCAAGCAAATCATGGATACACTTATTAAATTGGTCCATGATCTAGGCTGTGATGTTTGAAGTCTACTGATAAAATGGATAGCGACATTTGTAGCTTTGGTGCATTGTGAAACCGGCTCGATATGTGGTCAGAGTTTTCTGATGCAATTAATCTTTGCTTGGTTAGGGAGATAGTTTGGCTTGAAACTATTTGGTGATTGTCCAATTTAGTGTTTGGAATCCAAAAACAATTGGGTAAAGCAACTAAACATCCAAATCTGAAAATTTCGAACTTATTGGTATTTGTTTATCATTTCCATTTTTAAGTTGACAAAAAAAAAGGCGAATGACAGAGTTTTTCAATGTTTAATTTTTAATCCACTGTATGTGTAGCAAGATCAATTTTTTATTTTTTATTTTTTGCATGCACTATCTGTTGAAAAAAAGGGTGAAAAGTGGATCAATCAGATGGGGACAGTGAAGCACAATAGCAATGTTCAGTTATTATATATTTAATATTTGTTACTAACATTTGATGGATTGGGTCCATTGTTGATAGTTAGAAAATACAAACTCCATATATATTTATCCTAATGACTCTTAAAGTAATATTTAAAAATTTTATATAATTTTTTAATAAGCATAGTTAAAGATTAAAACAAATTCTTCAAATTATGCTAATACGAGAAAGTTCCATATCTTTTTTTTTTTTTTTGTGAAAAATAAAAGAGCTTTATTTATTTATTTTTTCTTGTAATGCACTTACGAAATTGTTTCAATATATAAAAAATATTTTGTCATTCTTATTTTTTTAAAATAAAGTTAGCTTGATAATGAATACAAATATAATCAAATATAAAAGTAAAATTATTATCAATCATAATCTAAGTAAAAGTATTATCAATAATATCTAAAAAATTATTTTTTATTTTTTATTATTTTATTTTGATTACTTGTATTTAGTAATTTCTATAATCGAAGGAGAATTTTCAAAGAAAATAAAAGAAGATAAAAAAGGACCTCAAGTACTAATATTTATAATTTAATATTATAAAATTAATATGTCTTAGAACGATATATTATATTACCATATTTTGTGAACTAGTTTGGTCTAAAGAAGTATTTTGTTCAAATAAAATCTATATATAGCATAAATACATAAAGATCTGTAATGTGAATATAAAAAATTTGTATAGCGCTATATTAACTTTTAGCATAATGATATAGTATTATTGTTTTTACCAATCATTTTATTTTAAAGATATTTTTTGATTATATGCGAGGCAAAATAATACAGATATAGACATGAATAAAAATTTTATGCAAAGTCTTTTTTAATAATAGAGTAGTCAAAAGGTGTGTGTATATATGTATATATATAGACTTTCAATTAAATGAGTCAAAGATAATATGAGACAATAACTAGGCTATCCTATGAAAACGTAGCTAAGGTACAATTTAATAATTTTATGAAGTGTTTTGTTTAAAAAAATTATTTTATAATATTATTAGAAATGGTAAAAAGTAAAATTATGACAACTCATTATCTAAAATCGTTTTTTTTTTTTTATTACTTATGTTCAATAATATCTATAATTCAAAATTTTTGAAAATGCTCCAAAGAGAATAAAACATGACATGACATTGGAGTCCCATATAGTAGTATTTAATTTTTAGTATAATAAAATTATAATCTCTATTACTACAAAAATTACTATTACATAGGAATATTTGTGAATTATTTTTGTCTAAAGGAGTCTTTGGTTCAAATAAATTTTATATATTACATAAATACATAAGATACATGCGAGATTCCAACATGCGAGATTCCATTAACTTTTAATATGATAATATTAGCATTATAGTTTTCATGAAATTTTTTATTGTAAAAATTTTATTTTTGTCATATGTAAGATGAATATAAAGATATAGACACGAATAAAAATTGTATTAGTAAAAATAAAAAGAATTTCCAAATTATCTCCCTAATCAAGCAAAGAGTTAATTGGATAAAAAAAACTCTGACCAAGTAACGAGCCAGTTTCACTATGTACCAAAACATTAATAAATGGAATCAAATATTTTGATCCAAAATTGATATATATATATGGGTTTATGAATATTGAAAAAGAAACTAGAGGCATAATTTGCCATGTAACAAATATGTTTTATTAGCCTATCATGTGAACGCGTGATCTAATTTTTTTTTTTGTCAATACAGTACACATTGATTTTAATGCTTTCATTTTACCTTTTTTCTCTACTGTCACCTCCTTCAACATTATAATCATTAACTCCATCAACCGTACTACCATTATATTTAAAACCAATTGAAAACATATTATAACTATATTTACCGTTTTTATATTATTGTATCCATTCATATCATATCGTTATCATTCACTATAACTATCATTATTTATTAATAAAATTATAAATATTATAATTATAATATTTTTATGATCTTTATCATCATTTTTAGTATCATATTAATTATCATCATGTCATCAACACCATTGCCATGCATATTGCTACAATTTAATAATAATAATTAAAATATGTAATATTATTACTTTTTATAATCTTTAATTAATAATATATTATTATATTTCTAAATTAAGTTTGTATGATAATTTTTTCCTTATACATTTTTGTTAAATAAATTAATTTTTTTTTATAACAAACATAAAAGAGAGAACGAAAATCAAGAAATGATACCAAACATGTTCTTAGTTTTTTTCTTTCTAACCATTTACTTTTTACATTTTAGATTGTTGGTTTAAGTTATATATGTTAGTATAGGTGTTCAAGATCCAACCATGTTTGGATAGGTTTGAATTATTGCATTATTGCATCATTTATTTTACTAGTAATAAAATAAGTGATAGGGGACATGGGCGATAGCCCTAATTGGGAAATTGGGTGATTTTTTAGCCCTAGTTGGAAATTTGGGTAATTGATTAAAACATTATAGTAATTTCGGAAGTCGTTGAAAATCCGAAATTATAGTATTTTTGTTTCAGTATTTTATTAGTTTTAAAGTTAGTTTTCCTATTCTAAAATTGGAATAGTTATAAGTTTACCTAGTCTAATTAGAAATAGTTATGTGGGAGGTTTATGAATCCTTGTCCTAATTGGATTTGGACTTTTACAACTCTATAAATTCAGCATATAGTCTTTCAATATTCGGTATGCAATAATATTAAACAATGTTTAGCAATTTGCTTCGATTGTGTGACTCAATCTCTCTTAGATGTGACTCTTAAGAACCTTAGGTGTGAAACTTAGGATCTTTCTACCCTCTAGGTGTGACTCCTAGAATCCTACTCACATACTTCCTCATATTTCAACAAAAACCCCACTTTAATACAACCTTAAACACCTCTAAACAATCCTAAAATCATATCCAAAACAGTCCCTAAGTTGTCTTGCATCGGTTGGTATCAAAGCTTCAAGATCCTAGAAAGTTTTCTTGCCGCATTCTTCAATCATGGTGACCGCCATCGAAGTCAATGCAAAATTTGAAGCCTTTCGACTAGAAGCGAAAGTAGGCAAGAAATCTATGGATGAAAGGTTGGACAACATTGAAGAAAGACTTGATTCCGGACTTGCAGTAATAGATGACAAATTTGATTCCAAATTTACAAGCAATAGAGTGTCAATTGAAAGGCTTTTGAAAATTGTTTTTGGCAAACAATTTGCTATCACAACAACCGATAAGTCTTTCCCACAAACTCATGGTGTTGTGGTTGTCCAAAATAACCAACTAGCTATATTGCCCATTCAAAAAGGGAGCAAATCAACCTACAAGACACTATTGTTGATATTACAAAAAAGTAAGAGTTGATGGCTTTGATTTCGAATGAAAGACAAATCCTACACTATTCAATGAGTGAATTAGGTCCATGGAAACATTATTCAATTGGTATGATATGTCAAATGAATGAAAAGTGAGATTTGTAAAGATGAAACTTACGGAGTTCGACCAAGATTTGGTAGTATCATGTCGAACAAGATATAGATTGACTTAGACATGCATTTGTCACTACTTGGCATGAGATGAAAGCCAAACTTATGGAAAAGTACATGCTAGCCAATTATGTTCAAAAGATTCATAAGGCGACTTATGATTTACGACAAGGCAACCTAACTATTAATGGATATATGAAAAAATTTGAAGAGCTAAAAATCAAAGGTCGGATTGTGTAAGATCCTAAACAAGTCTTTGCCCTATTTAAGGTTGGTTTGAGAGCTAATATCAAAAGCGAATTACATGGAAAAGATCTTTACAATGTAGAGCATGCATGTTAAATAACGATCAATGCGGAGAAATACCTAAAGCAACTACTTACAAGGAAAGTTGGGTTTTAAATTGGAGTTACAACAACATGAAGGTACATTGAGATGAATAAAAAAGTAAGGATAGCCTCTCCATAACCTTTTAATCATCCTTATGTCTCAAAACCATCTTCTTTTAATATAACCTACACTAAAGGTAGAGATAACAAAGGGCTCGTCTGTTTTAAATGTGGGGAGCATGGACACATAGGTTACCAATATCCTAAGAAGAATAGTTTGCATATTAGGATTGAGCAAAGAGAGGAATCACAAGAAGAATCGACAATTCACTTGAATTTGGAACTTATAAAGTCGATGATCTTGCTAATGACGACAACGAGGATACTTCTCCTTTATCTATTGTTAGACGTATTCTTGTAGCCTCTAAAGTAGAAAATGCTAAAAATTAGAAACGATCTACAATATTTCGGACCTTGGTTAGGTATGGAAATTAAGCCAAAAAGCTTATAATTGATGGTCGAGTTGTATGAATGTTGTTTCAACATCCACAGTTGACCGCCTCAAGCTTCCTACCAACCCTCATCCACAACCATATAAAGTAGCTTGGATTAATAACATAACCATCCCGGTAACACAACAATGTCTTGTCGCCTTTACTTATGGATCCTATATTGATTCTATATAATGTGATGTGGTTTATATGTAAGTTGCTTACATTCTTCTTAGTCGACCTTGGCTTTTTGATCAACATTATGGACATGAGAATACATATTCCTTTTCCTTTGAAAAAAAGGTTATTGTCCTAAGGCCAATGAGTTCACTTGACATTAAGAAATATGAAGAAAAGTCTCGAATTCAAAAGGTATTGGTGGCATTACAAGGAAGTATCTCCAAGTATTGGCTAAAAAACAATTCCAAGCAATAAGCTCCAAGTCTAAGGTGATTTTTATTGTTATTGCAAGAGAGATAGAAAATTCGATTCGTCGTCCCTATTTCTAATTTGACTCCGGAGGTGACTAGATTATTATCGGACTTCTTCGATGTTGTACTAGAAGATCTACCTAAGGAATTGCCTCCCCTACGTAGTATTCGAGCATGCAATTGATCTTATTCTAGGCTCACAACTACCTAACCTTCCAACATATCGGATGAATCCTAGTGAGCATGCCGAATTCAAGACGCAAGTTGATGAGCTACTGTCTAAAGGATTTATTCTTGAAAGTCTAAGTCCTTATGCTATTCTAGCATTACTAACACTAAGAAAGATGGTACTTGACGTATGTGTGTTGATAGTCGCGCTATAAACAAGATTACTATTAAATATCACTTTCTTATCCCACGTCTAGATGACATGTTAGATGTTATGGTGGGTTCAATCATCTTTTCAAAGATTGATCCGAAAAATGGGTATTATCGATTACTGAATCGGACTCGGTGATGAATGAAAGACAACCTTTAAAAGTAAGGATGGACTTTACAAATGGCTAGTTATGCCATTTGGGCTCTCCAATGCTCCTAGCACCTTTATGAGGTTTATGAACCGGATACTTCAACCCTTTATTAGTCGTTTTCTCGTCATTTAATTTTATGATATCTTGATTTTCAGCGAAGACCAAGGAAGAGCACATCTCTAATCTTTCAATAGATAATGATAGTTCTTCCCTAAGAAAAACTTCACGTTAACCTAAAGAAGTGTTTTTTTATGACTCCAAGTGTTGTGTTCCTAGGTTTTATTATTTCATCAAAGGGAGTTAAAGTTGATTCGAATAAGATAAAAGGCTATTGGGGAATGGCCGACTCTAACCACTTTGAGTCGGGTAAGACATTTTCATGGGTAGTTATTTTTTATAGGCAATTTATTAAAGATTTCAGCACCATAATGGCTCTTATAACTAATTGTTTGAAGAAAGGTCAATTCATTTGGGCAAAGATAGCAACAAAGGCTTTTGAAGAAATCAAAAGGATGATGATCGAGGCTTCAGTTTTACACCTTCAGATTTCTCTAAAGTATTTGAGGTGGCTTGTGATACATCTCAAGTAGGTATTGGTAGCGTACTTAGCTAAGACCGGCATCCATTAGCTTATTTTAGTGAAAAGCTTAATTAGGCAAAGCAAAAATATTCAACTTATGACAAATAATTTTATGCTATGATTCAAACACCGTGACACTGGCGGTATCACTTAATTTTGAAAGAGTTTGTGCTTGTATTCTAATCATGAGGTGCTCAAATACATAAATTCTCAAAAGAAGCTAAACTATCGCCATGCAAATTGGGTTTCTTTCTTACATGAATACACTTTTGTTCTCAAACATAAGGCTGGAATTAAAAACAAGGTAGCTAATGCGCTTAGCCATATGACACTAGTTCTTAATTGCATAAATGTTCAAGTTGTTGGTTTCAAATTACTCAATAAAGATTACCTTTCTTATCGAGATTTTAGCATTATCTATGCTAATTTATTAGTTGAAAAACATGATGAGCATCCTAATTTTTCCATACATGATGGATACCTTTTTAAGAAAACTCGTTTGTGCTTGCCTAACACATCTCTTCGTGAAGAAATGGTGTGTGAATTACATGCTCGGAGGTGCAGCAGGAAACTTTAGCGAGAGATAAGACCATTGCAATAATGGAGGATAGATTTTCTTAACCAAGTATGAAAAGGGATGTTGCTCGATTATTGCAATATGTTATACTTGTCAAATTTCTAAGGAAAGGAGACGGAACACGAGTTTGTATATGCCTTTATCTTTACACCATGAGCCTTGGCAAGATTTAAGTATGGATTTTATTCTCGGTTTACCTAAAACTTTAAGAAGCCATGATTCTATCTTTGTGGTTGTGGATCGTTACTCAAAGATGGCTCACTTTATCCCTTGTTCAAAAACATCCGATGCTCGTTCATATTGCTAAGCTTTTCTTTAACAAAGTTATTAGATTTCATGGGTTACCAAAGCCAATTGTCTCCGATCGTGATGTGAAGTTTGTGCTTTATTTTTGGCGTTCTTTATGGAGAATGTTTAACACAAAGTTGAAATTTTTTTCTTCTTTTCATCCTCAAACGGATGGGCAAACGAAAGTTACTAATAGAAGTTTGGGTAATCTTCTTCGTTGTTGTGTTGGTGATCATATTTCTACTTGGGATAGAGTTCTTCCTATGGTTGAATTTGCTTATAATAGTTCAATGAATCGAAGTACTAGACATAGTCCTTTTGAAAGTGTGACGGTATGCTTCCAAGAAAAACAATTGATTTGGTTTCCTTACCTATTAAGACTCGTCATAGTATAAAAGCGTAACTTTTATAAGACATATTCGTGACATACATGATGATGTTCATCAAAAGATTGCTTTTAGCAATGCAAGCTACAAATCTTTTATGGATTTACGAAGAAGCTTTGTTGAGTTTAAGGAAGGTGAGATGGTTATGGTGCGGATCGGACTTGAGTGATATCCTAAAGGTGCATTTAAGAAGCTTCATTCATGTTGTACAAGCCCTTACGAGGTTCTAAAGAAGATTAGCTCCAATGCTTATGTTATAAACCTACTTAGATGACATAGGCATAGGTAGTACTTTTAATGTTGAAGATCTTATTTTATATCGTAGTCATGATGAGGATCCAATTACCGATTCAACTTATTTCTAGATTGCCATCACCACTATAATACAAATATTAAATTGAAGATATTATTGACTATCAAATGGTTTCTACTAGAACCGGAGGCTACCAAAAGTTTCTTGTCAAGTGGAAAGGACGATCACTTTTTTATTACACTTCGATTACGGAGGAAGAGTTGCAAAAGCTTAACACCAATCTGCTTGCCCAATTTCATACCTTCAACTCGGGTTCGAGTTCTTTTTAATTGGGGAGAGATGATGGAGGACGTGAGCGATAGCTCCAATTGGGAATTTGGGTGATTGATTAACCCCGATTGGGAATTTAGGTAATTGATTAGGGCATTATAGTAATTTTAGATCCGTTGGAAAATTTGAAATTATAGTATTTCTATTTAGGTATTTTCTTAGTTCTAAAGTTAGTTTTCATATTCTAAAATTGGAATAGTTATAGGTTTACCTAGTCTAACTAGGAATAGTTATGTGGGAGGTTTAGGAATGCTTGTCCTAATTGGATTTAGACTTATATAACTCTACAAATTCAAGCATATAGTCTTTCAATATTCGGTATGTAATAATATTAAACAACTTTTAGTAATTTGCTTCTAATTGTGTGACTCAATCTCCCTTAAGTGTGACTCTTAAGAACCTTAGGTGTGAAGCTTAGGATTTTTCTACCCTCTGTGTGTGACTTCTAGAATCCCGACCACATACTTCCTCATATTTTAGCAAAAAACCCACTTCAATATAACTCTAAACACCCCTAAACAACCCCAAAATCGGATCCATAACGACCTCTAAGTTGTCCCGCATCAAGATGTCTTTTTATTAATTATTATTTCTTATATTTATTTATTGGTTTAAGTTATATATATTAGTGTAGGTGTCCAAGATCCAAGATCCAACAATGTTTGGATAGGTTTGAGTTATTGTATTTTTGCATTATTTATTTTGCTAGTAATAAACGAAGTCTTGCTATTAAATATTATTTCTTATTTTTATTTATTGGTTAAAGTTATATATGTTAGTGTAGGTGCCTTAGATCCAACCATGTTTAGATAGGTTTGAGTTATTGTATTATTATATCATTTATTTTACTAGTAATAAAAGAAATCTTTGTATTAATTCTTATTTCTTATATTTATTTATTGAATAGAATTAGATAGAAGTTTTTATGATAAGCATTTGTATTAGTGATTGATTAAAAAGATGTGAGACAAACACTAATGTACATAAATGATATCATTAAATGTCTCAAGTCTTAGCATTGTCAAGAATGAATATTGATTATATGTGGTTAGACTTGTGAGTGCTATACTCATGCTATACGATAGTAGTTTGAGATTCAAACTTATTAGCATGGTAGTATCAAAGTAAGCACTTAGGTGACTTATGTTAGAGAACATATCACTAAACTTGACTTATTATGAGAACCCATTTGGTTTAGTCCATGAGAATCTCATACGAGATGGGTACGGTTAGTCCTTAGACTTTAAGTCATCAACGTTATCTCATTTGATGATTTATGTACTCTAATAATCGTTTCGATGAACCTAGTAAAATATTACATGTAAGTGATTTGTTGAGTGTACTAAGAATTTAATAGAGATAGGTGGATGAGACATGTGATTCCTTGTATGGTAAAAGAGCTATCATGTTGTATTTCGATGAATGTCTACTCAAGAAATATGTGACCACTATACGAGTACACCAATAGAGCATAATTGGTTTACTTTAAGAGCTAAGATATTTGAGAATCGAAGAAAACTTATATAATCATAATCAAACAAGACTAATAACTAAGTTTGAGATCATACCGTGATAAATTGACAT